TAAATCTCATCCAATATGTGTTACGTTTTGAATTTCTTAAATCAATTTGATAATTAAAGATTTTACACTTAGTTGATCAAGAAATTGAATATATAAATTTTTTGAGAAAATAGAGAGAAGTGCAATTGAAATTCCAAAAGTTAGTGTTTTCCATCAAATCTAACCTTATGGCTTTTTGAGATCTTTATAGGAAATGAAATTTTTTTGCTGGATATATATATACATACACACATACTAGTATTTCATACCATTTTTTTCATAGATTTAACCATTAAATTTTTCATTTTTGATGAAATTTAATTTTTTTTAAATGAAAATTTTTACCCAGAAGGACTTCTCATCTTCTTCCAAGCCTCATGATGCTCTGGGTTCCTTTCTTCATTCATGGCCATATCCATTTCTCAATTCATATAAGTTTCCTTTCTTTTATTTTTTATTTTTTCATTTCTTGAAGTTTTCAACTGACATCAATAAAACCGCATTCTAATATTTTGGTAAGTGAATGAGGTTTGGACTATAGTAAGTAACCTACAATTGCATTTGTACTGTCTAGATCTGATCGAATTCATACTTCATGAAGAATTAGCCTCCATATATGTTGTTGGGAATTATGTTTGATGAAGAGAGAAGAAAAAGGATTCTAGGGTTTCATAGGTCATGGACGAGGGAAGAGAGAGAGAGAGAGCTTGATGTCGGTGGAGAACTGAAACTGAAAAAAAGGGAATATAAATTTTTTCATGTAGATCCTACTAAAAGGAGAAGCTGAAAAGGGAGCAATATGATGTGTAAAAATAAACATGTCACGATGGCAAAATTTTCCTCATTAGCTTTCCATGTCATTAACATTTAAAAAATTTAGTGATTTTGTGGTAAGGTAAGAGGTCACGTGGAGATTCCGTTAACGAAAGGATCATTTTGGCATCGAAAAAAAAAATCAGAGATAATTTTAGTACTTTTAAAATTTAAAGACAATTTTGGTATCAAAATGAAAAGTTAAGATACTAAAATGGTATTTTAATTTTTTAATTTTTTTTCACGCATTTAACTAGGATTTACAAGAACATTTTTTTTATATAAAGAAAAAAACGTAGGATTTAGAAGCCTCTTTTAACGTTGATTTTCTTTCTAACAAAAGTAAAAGATATTAAAGTTAAGTTCTATAATATAAAAATATAATAAATAAAAAAATAATGTAATATTTTTTTATTATATAACTTAAATTTTTTTTTTAAAAAAAAAATTAGAATCGATACAAACAATTTTGCTATAGCTACGTCGTTTACAACCTAACGTGTCAGGTCACGCGACTTCTAATGTCACAAAATCTTGAATTAATTGGATATCGGATTGGGAGAAATAAAATTTGACAACTAAATCTCAAAATAAAATTCGTATCCATACGCGAGATACGTATTCCCAAATTAAGAAATTTTAACCATAACCCCACTTAACCTTTAAACCCTAAATGTGCATGTAGGGTTTTTAAGGAAATTTTGTTTAAAATTTTGTACATTTCTCTCCCGTTTTAAAATAATAATCAATTTTTAATATTAATAATTTATAAGTAGTTTATATTTTTCAGTGTATATTACCTTTAATAAAGAGAGCACAATATGGATAATTAAAAGTAAGAGAAAAACTAGGATAAATAGTAAAGAATATTTACTTATTTATAAAATAAAAATAATAATTAACTTAAAATAAATTTTTTATTTAAAAAATAATGATTATTCTAAAATAAATGGAGTATTTGGAAAGTTGGTGAAATTGTACTCATAATCCGCGCAAGATATACATTCCAAACAATAGCTGAGCTACTCTTTCATACATTCCAAACAATAGCAAGCCCACAAAATGTTTACATTTCATTTACCACCTTGCGATGAAAAGAGTCTCGGCATTTTTTTATTCATAATTTTTTTTTTTTTTTTTTTTTTTATCTTAATTATACAATAAGAGACAATTATTTTTTTTATTTTATCCCACTCATATGTTATCCGAATCGAACTCATAATCTTTTATTTTTAACAAAAAATAACTATTAAATTATTTAAATAATTGACAAAAGATCATGTCATGTTCTATTGTAAGATAACAATACTAAATTTTAACCGTATAATTTTCCATTTACAAAGACGGGGATGGTTAATTACACCGTGATTTACGTGAAATTTAGTGCCAAAAAATACCACGCCACTGTTGTGAAATTATCAATGTAAAACTGCAAAATTTGATGACCGAAAGTTATACACTAATGTCACTTAATGTTTAATTTTATAATATTATAAATCGTACTATAATTATTTTTTAATTTTGATAAATTATGGGAAAGATATTAGTGTTTCACAATGATAAATACTAAAGTTTTTGTGTTTTTCTTTAAATTAAGAATTTAAAAATTATTTATATATTTATTTATTACTTTTTAAAAAAATAAAGA